CAGCGTCTAACAGCTAGGTGGTGCTCCTGTATATGCGAAACGAGCGTGTGTCAATTATGTCGTTTGTCAGATCGAGGACAGAATAAGCACGGTTTGCGATAACTGACACCCGACTACTCACTGACATGCAATGGGTACATCTGTTTTATGACTCGGCTGCACGCGGACGTGGGACGGTGGGCAAATATGACGCCTTTTTCCACGGTATGCGTTATGAACGGCGTGGCTGCATGTATTATGCTTTGTCTAACCTACTGACCATAAAAGTGTTTGTTTGTTCCTGAAATGTATGCCTAATTCTTGAAAAAAACGCTATCTTGTTTCGGAGAATGCATCATCCTGATATGACCTTGTGACGCGACAAAGAACTGCGGCGCCACTAAAATTGAGAGTGTGAAAAAAAACGATCAAAAATGGTCGTGCGTCTATCAGATATATTCAGTGAAAACTCGAATTAAAATCAAAAAGCAGTCAGTCGGAGGAGATATAGACTAAATAAAAATCATTAGCCGTATGGCGAGTGCTGCATGCAACATTCTGCAGTTTGAAAAAAGACGGGTAAGCAATCGCAAAAGAACATTGGGTAGGATTGCGATATTGCTCAACATGCAGTCCAATATCATTTATTTCAGTCACGCTGGGATACTAACCCTGTCATGAGCTTCTTTTTGACCGCCTCTAAAAGGACGATTCTGTAAAAAAACATGGGTATTAAATCATTGATTTTAGCTGCCTTTGTAAGTTCAACTATACTTTATGGAGAGAATGTTCATAAAGGAAAAGCATGCACCTGCCTATGTTTTAGAAATTCATTGTATAGCTCTAATGGAGTTTCAGTAGACATTAATAATGTTGTTATATGAGGGTTAAAATTAACAAATTAAAGAATACAATATATTAGGAATGAACAGTAAAAAATACTTTCAATTACAGTTTTTTTTTTAAAGAGAAGGAACACGTTCCTTATGAATAAAATTCTAAGGAGGCATTATTTCCTATAAATCACGTACGATAGATGATTTTATTCGTGCATGCCATCCACAAAATATATTTAATTTATAAAAGCAGTCAAAATTAGTAATACAAATTTAAACTGTTTAGGTAGCCCTTTTTTACTGAACTTACTGTTACGCAGCGGTCAGAAAGAAGCTCCTCACAGAATCATCGGCATCCTACTACATGTTGGTTTGTGATTTATTACTGGCCTTTTCAAATTGCGGGGCGCTGCTTGCAGCACTCGCCATACTGTACGTAAATTCGTGGAAATACTCAAGAAAATGGTGACTGCTTCTGACCGTCCTACGGCAGGTCTGTCCATTGTAACTTCTAAACTTCATGAACCGCACGTGTTTGCATCCAATGTTTTTTCATTGAGTTACTTCGAACAGCTACACTATGACGTTTGCGCGTATTGCCTGTTGGTATTTAAGTTATCGTTGACGTAAATTAAAATGTAGTTTATTAAACGCAAGCAGTGAGCTTCATATAATTTTACTACATTAACCTAATTTTATTTTCATTGCTGGTTCTTTTACATTAGGTGAGAAATATGTGTCGCTTTGAAGTAAGTTTTACTTAGTTTTACTGCACTAATGTGTGTACATGATCTAGGTGTGATCGACGTTGAAATATTTCCTTTCGTGTCGCTGTGTACATTACCTTAGTTTTAGCAGAAATCATGGCGTCCCGGGTATAAGCGTAATACACTGCAGTACAAGGCCTGCACTATCATCATCCTTCTTAGTATTCACTTATTAAATCACACGGTTCTGAGGACTGACCACGAAAGCATTTAATGTTCCATCGCAGGATTTAAAATATGACTTTAGCCGTGATGTAGGATATGTTTTCCTATAGTGTAATTTCATACTTATTTAGCCACATTAGGATAACGGTCAGGAATATAGGTTCTCATTAGTGCATGGTGCATGTGCCTACTCAAAAATTGGACACTGTCCTTGATTTTTGTGACATAACTCTGTTTGGAGGAAACATATCGAATATGCTTCCTCCTGGAGACTCTTGATACCACATCAGTCCTTCGTCTATACCTATAAAAAAGTAAATCACACTGTTTCTTTTACGATTTCAGGCTTAAATGTAAAATAAAATTCCTTTTAACCTGGCTACACATTATCCCGCCTATCCATTTTACATATTGTCCACATTGTCTATTGCAAAAAAGGGCTGAATGTTATATGACGAATAGCGCATACTTACGTTAGTTTGCTTGCAAAATAAATATATTGGGTAAACCTCAGAAGGACAAAGTATTGGCCGAAGAGCCATTATGTGTCATGCCTAAGTTGCAGTATAGGAAGTTTCAGGTTTCCAACAATGGTATGGGATACTTATTAACAGGTGCCCCAACAACGTGCTCTACTGCACAATTGCATCGACTATCAATACGTGGAATTATGTTCCATTATGCCTAGCATTTCAGCATAAGCAGCATATTATGTGCTACCTGCAGTATGTTATGTATTGATTCTTGCTTGAAAACTTAAAATTGTCTCTCCAATGTCACCTTATTTAGAATGTTACCGACTTCTATCCCTCAATGAAAATGCAATGCCGCCTCGCAGACCTATATGTTATCCTGAGCGTTACTATTGTTTGCTGGATTCTGCCCAACTTTGCGCTTAAGAGCGGTGAGCTCCCGACCTTGCTGCTTACAAACATGTTGACGGTTGCTGACATATTTAACCTGCTGAATTGTTTCGATGAACCTTTGGCTCCTATACGCAGCATATGGAGCACGGTCATTTGTGTATGGCCAGCCAGTCTACTCCACCGCTTCTGCAATAACATAACAAGCCTTGTGGATATTTCTACTGAAGCTGATGATGGCTGGGACGATTCTGAATCGCACTCATCGGCATCGTTGGACTCACGCTCTGACTATTCGGGTTCTGACTCTTTGGGGTCTGACTCTCGATCTTGGTCAGAATATGTGGAGGAGACCAATAATCAGAATTTTCTCGTGCGCGGTTCCAGTAACATTGATACGTGCCAGTCAAACAGTTCACCTCTGGAAGAATGCACATCCAGCCTATTCTCTGTTATCGTCGACAGTGGGGTATTGGCAAGCATATTGTCTGTATTGCTGCAGGACTTGCCGTTTTTGTGTGTGCGTTGTTACCTGCTGTCCCGCGTTAATCGGTACAATCCCCAAATCTATTTCTTCGCCGCGAAAAATACACTCTTCATTGTAGTGGAGGTATTTCGAGCGTCGATCCTGCTGCAACAGCGTTTGATATGTACGTGGTGTTAATTCCCGCTGATATCATAAAACACGCCTGCCTATTCTGCTAAGCCGCATACTTCTTGCGCGAAATAACTCTAAAAATACAGCCCCCGAGACTAAGTGTCTCATTTTCTTTGCGTTTTCATTAGCGTCTATTCACCGTTCTACCTTATCTATGTTGCCAGTTTGATGGCACTTTCTTTTTGATGTCCACACCTTTCTTTGAATTTAAAAAAATCATGACTTTCTGGTCATTCATTTTACTCCACGTTGTCTTTAATAATATATCCAGCGTTGAAGGTATTGCCTTGCCCGACGTGGAAAGTCTGCTAAATTCTGACGACGTCGAAAGCGGTCAATGGGATGCTAAATATAACTATTCGACATCAACGGCCTCAGTCTCTGCCTTTTCGGAATCGGCCTCTGGATCTGCTTCAGGTTCTTAGGAAGCGAACAACAAAAGCGTTTTCTTTTGTGTGGTTCTAATAAAAGGACACGAGCAGTAAAACACCTCACCACACTACGCATGCAGTTTAAGTGGCGTAGGGATAATCCTGCTGTCCATAGTGCGCCAGGGCTTGCTTTTTTGCGTGGGTGTTGGGACCTGCTTTTCTGCCTTTATCGGCATAATCCCTGAATATATTGTTTCGAGATAAATAATATACTGTTGGTTGTAGCACGGATATTTCGTCCTTGGTACTGCTTGAAAAAGCTATATTTAAATATCCGCGACAACGCACCTGCCTATTCTGCTAAATAGCGACCTTCGTGCCTGAATCAGTTCATACAGACGGTCACCACGACACACCGTCGTTTTCAATTTGTGTTCGCATGTACGTTTATTCGCAGTCCTTACTCGCATGTGTCACGATTTTAATGACGCATTTCTTTTGGATTGCCCTTTATTTGATCGATCATAATTTGCAGACGTCTGCATGATTTTTGTAAGCATAGACGCAACTTAATACAAAGATTGTAAATATCACGCAGTAACAAAAACTAAACCATGGAATGACCACTTCGGACAAATAAGCCCTTATTAACCGCGGATAACCGATCTGATGTACATATCAGTGGGAACTCAAACTTGAACGTTCCATGTACATTTGCAAGGTGATTATCGGGTAAAATAAGGAATTAAGAGCTGTGGTTGTTACAGTGGCTTT